TTAAAATGACTTGCAGTACCAGTAAAATCCATGCAGAGGCGCAGTCTCTCCAGGATGTTCTGCAGTCTCTTGTGCTGGGGCAGGTGCCTGAGCTTGAGCTGGACGCTGGCCTTCAGTCCTGTTCCCACCTCGGCGGGGGAGCTCACCACCCAGCCCAAGTGCTGCTTCCATACGAAAGAGCGCCTCAGCTTCCTGTACTGCGCCTCCAGCTGGAGACCAGTGGAAAAGCACAGGCAAAAAATACACGCTCTGTGAAGTGGTCTGTGATGACACCTTGGTTAAAAGCATTATACCAAGTAAGTTTTGATTGACTGTTGGTGGCCTGCTCCACTTTCAGTGTACTCAGGACCATTCAGGACCTGTTCATGTTTGCTGTACTTAACTGGTCAGGATAAATGAGTATTAATATGTCAAAATGTGGTAACACTGTCATTTTAAATTCCCCAGAATGTATATTGGTTATTATTTTATGTTATATTAATATTATATATTGGTTTGTTCTAAGTGCATGGTTTGATCAGAGTGTGCAGAGCTAGCCTTCATCAGGCCTTTGTCCGAACTAAAATGCCCATACTTAAAGTTTAGAATTTCTGGCTTACACTGATTATGTGACCCCCATACATGTAGCACTTCCTGGAGATATCACAGCTGTCCTTTTTCACTTGCCTTTTGCAGGTGGACGCAGGCAGATTCAAAGGCCTTCTTAATGTTGGAGTCTGTCCGCGCTGATACCAGCTGGAGGTGGTCATCAATATTAATCCACACCGCCAGGTTTCCTTCTTTGCTGATCCTGTGGAAATAGACGTTCAGCATGCTTATAATGGCGCCTGTGGCACCTTTGCGTTCCAGAGTTTGACAAAGGGTGAGTTTAAAAGGAGTAGTGTGCTACAGTGGCTTCAGAAAGTATTCAGACCCATTCACTTTTTTAAAACTTTGGTGTATTAGAGACTTAATGTGAAATGGATTAAATATAAGTGAGGATGAAAAATTGCCCAAAGCCAGGCGTGCAAAGCTTGTAGAGACTTACCCAAGAAGGCTCGAAGCTGTGATTGCTACCAAAGGTGCTTCTACAAAGTTCTGAAAAAAGGGTCGGAACACTTATATAAATGAGATATTTCAGTTTTTGATTTTTAATAAATTAGCAAAAAATTCTGAAAAATGTTTTGCTGTGCCATTATGGGTGATTGTGTGTGTAGACTGACAGCCAAAAGAATACATTTAATCCATTTTCGATCAAGTCTATAACACAACAAAGTGTGAAAAAAGTCAAGGGGTCTGAATCCTTTCCGAAGCCACTGTATGTGTTTAAGAGTAGAGTCTGGCATTCGAATAGGCTGCACTGACCATACCGCCCGGGCATCAGGCCAGTCTCTGGCCACTCCGGTCCTTCTCCTGACGTCAGTGGCAGTCTCCATGGTCAGTGCCTCTCCCAGCGTGTCCTCAGTCAGCTCTTCCAGGGAGTGCAGTTGTCCTGGAAGCTCTTCTTCCACCTGGCCCAGGGCTGAAAGATGGGCTGTATCAGTGTATTGTCTGAGGGTTTATGTTGAGCCAATAATTGGCCAGGGGCCATATGTAGAGCTACCTCACAAGCTCTAAGTTCTGCACAAAGGCTGACAAGTAACATGTACCCAGACCCGGGAGACAAAACTGTAAGACATCAAGGCTGTTTGTTTAATAATGTCTCAATTTTGCCTCCTGAGTTTCAGTGAAATTATGACTCAAGACCGGTCAGTGTTTCATGCAGCGGTTTATTCCCTTGGCCTTTTCATTTACCTTATTTTATTCTCATTTCTACATACTTTAGTCTAGTTCAAAGATTGTACCAAGAATGTACCAAACAGCTGTGTTTTAAACACTGGCTTGTTTTCCTAGACTTTCACTATCCTCTAGACGTCTTACTTTTGACATCCTTTTGTCAAATTTTGCTTGCTTATGATCGATCACCAACTTTTTTGTATAGTGCTCATGAATAATCTCTAACTATAACTATCTCTAACTGTATATATTACATTTACAGATTTTTGAGGCTTCATAATATTTGTTTTCCAGAAATAACTTTCAGGACACTTAGTATTCATAATGATAGGGGAGTATACCAAATGTACTAACTGTATGGAGGCTGTGTGTGTGTGTGTGTGTGTGTGTGTGTGTGTGTGTGTGTGTGTGTGTGTGTGTGTGTGTGGAAATGGGTGCAGTACCTTTCTTGGCCAGGGAGAGGAGCTGTCTGCGCTCTCCTCTGCAGCAGTGCACAGGGAAAGAGAAGTCTTCTATGCAGCGGCTCATGCGCACCTCACAGCCCAGCACATACTCCCTGTCAAAGTCATCCCCACCCTGCAGAACATGCAAATGAACACACACAGACACCCCTGGCTCAGCTGAGCAGCATAGACTCTCACATTCCTTTTTGCATGCTGTAGGCCCGTAAGGTCTATTTATGCACCGGTTTTGTGAGCAATCTAACATGATGAATTGAAACAGAGGGAGGTTGGCACACATTTATGCAATGAAAATGCAGAATGATATTATGTGTGTAATGCATTTCACATGAAGTCATAAGGAACGTACCACATCTGTTGTATGTCTACATTTCAGCTATCCTTGCCTGTCCTGCTCCTCTCATTATCATACAAATTAAAGAAAACCTGACAATGGTGGGGATAATTTCTATTCGCGTAACCCCACCGAGCCATTTCCCCTTGAGAAAACAGGATTCAGAATTAAAAGAAAATAATTTATTATACCGATGACATTATAATAACAATTATAGTGGCAGTTATTGTCATTGGTATTTGACCCAACACTGTATTTCTTGGATGTCTCCCCCAAAGTTGAAAACATATGTATCTCCTCCAAACTTGAAAGCATATGTATATACACACCTAGATAAATAACTGAATATAGCAGCTGCATTCTGTCTTTGTCAAATAGTGTGACAAACATTTATTGATAATGTTTGATGTCAACAACAGAGAGAGATTAGGCTCTTTAATATATGTCTGGTTGATATGATGTGTTAGCTTAAATGAGAAGAAATGGCAAACTATGTTCATTTCTAATATGGACTACAAAAGATGTTTGTCACACTATTTGACAAAGACAGAATGCAGACTTCCATATCTTTTGGTTATGCCACAAGATTAAAAATTCCATGGAATGTCTGTTAAATGCATTTATCATCTTGAGGCTTGAAGAAGTCCAGTTTAGTTTGGTGTCAGCCCTCAGGGACATCTTGACCTATTTTCTTCCTTTGTGTCCTTTATTCCTTCCCTAGTTTACATTTTGTTCAATTTTTTGTTATATGTCTTGGAAAAACTCCTTTCTGCAATAAGGCCCGCCATTTCACCTTTAGGTTGTCATAGTTGAAGTCACTCTCCTGGTTGCTGGTCATCTTGTAGCCATGGTAGGCCTCTATGATGCGGTCAAAGAAGTCACAGAAGAGGATGTAGCACTGGGCATCCCCTGCCAGACAGCCAACAGACACAGGCCCCGACAGCTGGCCTAAGGGACAGCACATACATACATATCATACACACACCTCATAAATGAAAAATACCATCATTTCACCTGTCTTTATCACTGCCATTATTACTGAATCTAAACATATTGTTAGAGCAATAGGTAGTCATTGCTAGTCACTAAGACAGATGTCCCCGCAACACAGAAGCACTGTTTTTGGACCAGTGTTGTGGTAGGTTACCATGTTTGCTGATAGCTTTTCATTAGCTAAAAAATAGAAAGGTTAAAACATCTTTGCCTTTCAGAAAACAGATGCTCACATTGTAGTCTCACTGCAGCTAATCCCAGACATCCACACAGGTTCATACTACAGGGAAAATTTAACCGAATAGGCGTAGCCCCCTTGATCAGTGCAAATCCATTTTCTGTATATTTTTCCGCAGGGGGCGAATTTGGTCTCCTCCTAATTCAGTGTCACCAGGCCTGGCTTATCGGGGGATGAAGAGTAAACAGTAGCAGGTTTGTCAGTATGGCAGGAAGTTTGGGGGCAGGACGGAGCCTGCCAAATGTCTGACAGCGCAGCAAAGAGAGCGGGCATCTGCTGCATGCTTAAAAGGGAAGCGGGCTTTAGTGCTGGATTAGGTTCTTTTCATGCATGTCCCTCAGAAACCGCACTGATGGCTCCCGCAATGTGATACTGCCCTATGAGAGGTGTCATTCCTGCATTTCTCTCAGTACTCCAAAGTCAGTCCCTGTTAACAAGGTCTGAACCCTCTCAATGTTATGACATTCAGTGACCCTTTTTAAGTATTGTTTACACGTATACACGCACATGCACACATATATCACATGCATATATCATATCTCATATATATATATATATATATATATATATATATATATATATATATATATATATATATATATATATATATATATTTGAGACTATGTATGAGACTCTGGGGGTTGATGCATGCCAGATATTTTGGGCCTGAATGCTCACCGCACATAAGTCATACTCATCTCATTTAGTTGCTGCAAAAATGGAATAATTTTTTTTTTTTTCTTTTTAGGTAAAAAACATAAAAACACACACATTCACACACACACACAAGAAAGTCTTTTACACTGCACTCAGAAATCAGGTCTGACCAAAGACTTTCCCTGTTTAGACTCAGATAGGCTGTGAGCTTCCATGTATATGGCCCTACCTGGGTCCTCAAGACCAGGCTGTATGACATCACTGAAGATGACGCCGCTGTCTGTGGCCCTGTCGTACTGCCGCTTGTACATGTTGAGGGTGAGGATGTGGCCCATCACGGTGTAGTTCTGATCCAGACTAGGAAACTCCTCCTCAGGTGTCCCCCTCTTCAGTCTGATCAGAGACATGGGGTCCAGGGGAACCAGGCTCTGTGGCCGACAGCATGGGGGTTAGAGTGGAGAGAGTGAGTGACCCCTTGGGTCACACAAAAGCGCTCACTCCTGCTTAAATGCTTCATGTCACGCAGACCTTTCTGGTAAGAGTCTGTGATATATGTATACGGGCAGGAGTGTGGCAGAGTGGTAATGAACAGGGCTCATAACCCAAAGGTTGCTGGTTCGATTCCATACTGGGGCACTACTATTGTACCCTTGGGCAAGGTACTTAACCCACAATTGCCTCCGTAAATATCTAGCTGTATAAATGGTTTGTGTGTAAATAATTGTAACCTACTTAAGCTGCTTTGGATAAGAGCATCCACTGAATTACAATAATGTAATTGATACCATCCTCAAAATCAGCAGAAAATGTGTAGAAAAAGCCAAACATAGCTCCATAGCCTTAGGTGTGAGATAGTGACAGAAGCTGCTGTTAGTTTAAAGGTGTCTTCTCTACATCCTGATTTCCCTCCTTATCATGTGACCCGGTGGTATTCGTACATATCACTGCACTACGTGATGTAATACAGCAGATATTGGTGTACACATTTAGAACTTCACAGCTCCTGTCCATCCGACTCTCCTTCTTTCAGTCATTCTGTAAGCCCTGCATTAATGCGGCAAAATGTCAAGGTTGCAATGACACAGGGGTGGTAGGGGTTCAGAGATATAGCGGTGTTCCCCAACTCTCACTTCATGCGTACAGTATTGAGGGGGTTAGCCCTCATGTTGCAGCCCATGTTCTGTTTAACCTGAATATGCACATTTCAGTGTGTTATTAGGTAAAAGACAAAAAATACCTCCAGAATAGGCCTGTACTTCATTTCCATAGGGTATTCAATCGGAGCTAAAAGAGGAAAGTGACATGAGTATGGTAAGAGTGGGTACATTCTTGTTCTGTCATTCTTTTTTGTAAGACACAAAGCAAAAATCTGCACGGGCACCTCCAACCGCAATAGGTGCTCCATCACACTGCTGACACGAGCATGCAGGATCACTTACGCTTTATCTTCCACATCCTGGGCTCAGGATACCGCTTTTTTGGCATAGAGGTTGGATCGTCGTGTTTAGAGAGCGGCGAAACTGTACAGTGATGAGTACAGCCTGCGTGCTGCACAAGTTATTAATAGTTCCTTATTAGTTTCTCTCGTCATCTGAGTAGTAACCGGCTCTGCCCCCAAACACACGCGCCTATACAAAGTGACTGGGGTGTTTGCTGGTGTCACATTGCACAGCTACAACAATGTGGCTATTTTTAAAGCTCCAAATCCACTTAGTACTGTATATTGGCACTGTGGGGGGTTGGTGCATGTGAACTCCATGATGGCCAGTGAAACACATGATTGAGCTTTCAGAATAAAGAGGTGACATTTCAGCAAATAGCAAGGGGTGATTATTTGTTTTACTCAAATATGTAGATGCAACTGACATGCCAAATGAACCTGAGGCTCAGATTTCCCTTCCCATGAATACAAGTGATATTACAGTTTGGGAAACGCTATGGATGTCTGATCTGTGATGCTATCTAATACCACTAGAGGGCAAAGTAGAACCACAAGATCCTTCTATAACATTTGCTTCAAAACTGTTGAATTGTCTTTCATATTTGTGGAGAATTATAAGGCAACTCTTCCACTTAAGTTGACATATTGTTGAAGTTAATTTTAATTCAGACATGACTTTACCTTTTGTGTCACGTTATTTGAACTAATTGTCATTCCTCAAATAGCACTGCATAAGGCGTAAAAACAATCAGGAAAAGTGTAAGTTTAAAGAAGGATCAACTGAAATTCAACTGAGAAATCTGAGGAACATGCAAGAGCATGATTTGTGATATAAGAATGATATGGAAAAAGAACCACTGCTATATGGTTCATTTTGGGTGTGTGTGTGTGTGAATATTACAGCAAATAGATTGGATTTTTTGATAACTGTGTAAAACATAGGCAGCTATCCACACAGCACATTCTGCTGTGTCCAGCAATGGACCTATAATCCTCATGGCTATGCTCAACTTGAGCTTTAAAGGTGAAGGACCTACCTTTACCTGTTGTGCAAATCTGCTCTCACTGAAATTTTTAATGCACAATGTTACAACAGACATAGAATTTAGAAAACATCTTCTAACCCAATGGTGGATAAGGACGTAACAACCAAATAATTTAACTGTAAGATTATGTTTTTCATTTTTATTACAAGACTGTAATAAACTGACACATTTTACTAGGATTCTCTTGTAACACAAACATGTAACATTAGCTTAACAACGAATCAAAGTCCTAAAAATCCCATAACCTAAATTCACAGGCAACATGTGCAGAACCTCTTCTGCATCATTCCTCCTGTTTCCAGATGCTAAGAGGTTATGTATTTTTCATTCCACACATACATAAAATCAAAGATAACCAAATAACAGCTGTGGTTACTTAGGATCACTTTTACAGTAATAATTATTCTAACTCTGTTCAGAAATTCTTAGTACACAGTAGAAAAATAAATGACTACTTACATACAGAGGATAAATAACTTTAATAATGTCTTAAATAAACATTTAAATTATCCTTCTGATAGAGCAAAATAAATGCTAAACAAATAAAATTCTGCTGGCACACTTATGCAATGGTTACTCAATTATTCTAGCTTTTTTTTGGTTGATTTGGATGCATAATTTCAGCACAGTTTGCAACTGAAAAATAAATCCTAGAAAAGTAATTTCAGGAAAAGGGATGAGAGACAATCATTTCAAGTACGCTTATCAACGAATGCATTAAGATTAAGATATTTTCTCTACTTATATTTATCTGTTCTACTTATCATCATTTATTAGGGCAAGTCATGTTCAAGAAAAAAGTTATCCTAAAAAAAAAAAAAAAATGGAAACAAGAACCTTGCTGAGCACAAACACTGAGCTCAGACCTTCAGTACTAACACAGTGGGTAAGGTAAAGCTATAACACACCTGTCTTTTACAGCTGGGCACCAGTAATGTGATTCATTAGTCAACCAGTATTATTAATCGACAGATAAAAGAGCATCTTGCGCCCCCTCAGAGCAGTGATGCAGGTGAGGGGGCTGTGCCCTGGGTGCCGATCAGAGTCGGGGGCCGCTGGCCGCGGGGGAAGAGCGCGGCTGGGAGGGGGGTGAGGCGGGGAGGCGTGGGGTTGCCGGGGCGGATGAGGGGCGGCGGGGGCTGGTAAGGAGAAGGCCGTGGCTGCAGGAAGCGAGCCTGCTGCTGGAGTGGCGGGGGCTGCCTGTGGAGAGTGGGTGTGGCGGGGAGGGACGGCCGCAGCAGAGGGGGCGGCTGGTTCACAGACGCCAGGCCTCTTGCGGGGGACTGCACTGCCGAGGCCTCAGAGGGGGCGGACGCGCCTGATGTGGGAGTCGTCTGGTCCTGGGGGAAACAGCGTTGGTTGGAATATATATTTCAGAGGCTGGGGCAAAGACAACAAACGACAACATACAAGACAACAGTTTCCCACAGTATCTACTGCTAAAAACTTCATTCTGAAATTATGGGTTTTATTTGCTTTACGAAATCTGCATAAAACCCCTCAACAACATAAAACTCCTGACAATAAAACTGAAATAATCAAGCCAAAATGTAAATATTTATGAGTATAGCTGTATATATTTTATCTACTTCACGTCTGTGCACATGACAGAATTTGCAGTGCTGTGCTCTGATCTGAAGAGCCTTCATTTTTATCTGTGGACAGTTGCTTAGTTTATCCAGTTTTTAAGATATGTACCACACCATTTCCATTAAATGGAAGCTAATTACATCAGGCAGCAGATTAAGGGTGCTCTTCCTTTAAAGTTCCAGTGTAGAGGTTATGGCAGGACTTGGTGTTTCCAGCACTGGAGGGGACATGAAGTTCTTTCTTGCGAGGACTGACTTAAAAATTCAGTCTGGGATTTTATTTTTGTTGATCACATCATTTTAATATCATTCTGTTCTTCCATTTAATAAATAGCTAGAGCCTTTCATCAACCTAGAACATTCTGTTTGTATTTGTCTTGACTTCTCTTCTGTTGGCTGAATGCAAACAGAACAACTCAATATTCTGCAGTCTGCTGAAAGCCCCATATGACATACAAACAAACTGGCCACATGCTCTGTACTGCTTCTATTCAGTGGGGTTATGTTGCATGGACATATAGTTTTCTGCAACGGTTCATTACTTTAATAATGTAATGGGAGTTGACTGAGCAGTACTATTGAACTAAATTAGTCAACATAAAGATTACAAATTGTATATTTCAATCTCGGAACATCAGGCCGGCTAAAATTCAATTAAAATGTCTTCAACTGAACCAAGAGGTGAAAACACCTTGACCTTCTAAGACTGGAATTCCCTGTCCTGCATTATGGCTTTCACTGTTCCTATGTGGTTGGGGGTTCAAACAAAATCCTTCAGTACTATAGCATTAATGGCTAAAAGTGTAAGGTATTGTTTTTCCATGACAAAATAATATCCTGCATGTCCAGCTACGTTACACTACAGATCATTACACATCCCAAAATCAGCACAAATACTGTAAGCCTGCTACAGAAGCCATGGGGAAGTCAGAAAGGAGAAAGTTGGTCAGAGAAGGGGTTAAAGGGAAAGTGGAACGCTCCACCACCTCATCCTCATCCTCCTCGGTACTCCTCCCTGACGGAGTGTTGGAGCTGTCCTTCCCCTCCTCCCCTGAGGGGGCAGCGTCACCGCCGGCCGCTCCCATCCCCCGCTCTGCCTCCCACTCCTGCAGCACCTCCTCCAAGTTAAAGCGACGGCGGTAGCTCACAAAGAAGTTCTTTACCTGACCCGCGGTCTTATTACCGATAACGTCGGCGATAGCTTGGAAATCTTTCCCGTACTTCCGCACACCTGGGAAGAGAAGCGAGGAGTGCCGTTCAGACCGGCTGAACTCACTTGTGACAGTGCCCCAAACGGAGTCACGCTAATGATGTCATCACAACAACCACAGGCTACAGCACAAAGACATTTACACCACTAAACATAAGCCAAGAACAGGGAATTGTAGAATGCACTTGTTACAATGTCTTCTATTCGTATACATGCATTTACCTTGAACTGCAAGAAGCTGCTCGTCTGTGGTCCAGCGGGAATTAATTTTCGGACTGCACTACAACAAACACAGAGCGTACCTTTATATCCGAGTATCTCCCATGGATGAAAACTGATGCATGAAATCT